TTTTTTTTTTTTTTTTGTTTTTTGCTTTTTTTTGTTTTTATTTTTCTAACTTATATTGTGTCATCTTTTTATTGCAGCATCACCTTTTTTGTCTCAATAACCGGCTACCATTTGCAATGATTTTAATTTATGAAAGATTTTGTATTCGAGAAAGTTTTATTAAATTTGTCATTTGATCGCTTACAGCAGTAAGCAGTGTTGTTGATATAGTTTTGTTCACTAATCACTTACATTCAAGAAGTAACGCAGTACGGCAATGAAAACTGCCGATTTTTTAAAATGATGGTTTGGCATTTTTCTTGTTACAGTTGTGACAAGTAAGGTTCCCTTAATTTCTTTTAGTTTTCGTCGTGTAGATTACATCGTTTTGCGGAATACATTTAGCTTCAGGTAACTATTACAGTGTTATTGACTAACTCAGTTAAGATTATCTTTTTTGTTTCTTTGGCTTTTTTCGTCTTACATTTCTGTTGATTTCTTCATTTTGGCGTTTTAAGTGTTGGTTTATGAAATACTCCACGAATTTCATCCCAATCACTTCTTATCGTTTTTATGAGTTTGCCTTTCGCAATTTTATTCCGCGTCATGAGCAACCTTCATCGTTACGTGCTTACTTTTATATAATACATTTCTTTTTTTAATTTCTGCTTCAGAGTAAATAGTTTTGCTGTCAAATAATTGAAACATGAGTGTTGACACTCAGACTCAACCTGATCATTCTTGGAAGACGAAACTAAATCTTCCTGCTAAGGACCGACGATACAAAACTGCAGTAAGTATTTAAATTAGCACTGAGGGTGAAAACTGTGTGGTTGATTAGGCAGAGATGAGGGGCTGAATTTTTGTTTTTAGGATGTAACTGATACGAAGGGGATTGAATTTGAAGACTTTTGTTTGAAGCGTGATTTGTTGATGGGTATATTCGAAAAAGGCTGGGAAAAACCAAGTCCCATCCAAGAAGCATCGATTGCTATTGCTCTTTCAGGTACTTTTTAACGCAGTGTATGGCTTTTCGTTTAATTTTTACTTCAGAACTCATTTCTTGTCTTTAAGGTCAAGATATACTGGCACGGGCGAAGAATGGCACTGGTAAAACAGGTGCTTACTGCATACCGTGTATCGAAACAATAAAGCCAGAGTTACCAAAGATACAAGCCCTAATTATCGTACCGACAAGAGAATTAGCTTTACAAACTTCACAAATCTGCGTCGAACTTAGCAAACATTTGAAACTCAAGGTATTTTTTTCTGCTAAACCTTTATCTTCGGACGTCGACAGTAAAAGGTTATTTGAAGATCATGGTTACAACTGGCGGTACTGACCTTCGCGATGACATAATGCGACTGAATGGTGTTGTTCACCTTATTGTTGCAACTCCTGGTAGAATCCTGGATCTTATGAATAAGGTGGGAGATATCGGTTTTTTTCTAGAATTGTTATATGACACTTTTTGAAAGACTGACCACTTTTGTAAAACCAGTGCATCAGAAATCGGTTTGTCATTTTCGTCTTTATAGGGGGTTGCTGTCATGTCTGAATGTTCTAAACTTGTGCTTGACGAAGCAGATAAGTTATTATCACAAGACTTCCAAGGTGTTCTCGACCGTGTCATCAAATTCCTTCCTCCGAATCGGCAAATAATGTTGTACTCGGCAACATTCCCGCTTACCGTCTCCACATTTATGCAGAAACACATGAAAAATCCGTACGAGATTAATCTTATGGAGGAACTTACGTTGCTTGGTGTTACTCAGTACTATGCCTATGTCCAAGAGAAACAAAAAGTTCACTGTTTGAATACGCTCTTTCGCAAGGTTAATTATAAATTCATCCACTTCTCTTTTTATCCGTCTTCGCAGTTTTGACTTAATAGATTTCAGCTTCAAATCAACCAGTCTATCATATTTTGCAATTCTACTCAACGCGTGGAACTTTTGGCCAAGAAAATTACAGAACTTGGGTACTCATGTTATTACATTCATTCTCGAATGGCTCAGAACTACCGCAATCGTGTCTTCCATGATTTTCGCCAAGGCAACTGCCGGAACTTGGTGTGTTCGGACTTACTTACCCGTGGTATTGATATTCAGGCAGTTAATGTTGTCATAAATTTTGACTTTCCACGTAATGCTGAAACATACCTGCATCGTATCGGACGGTACGTTTGGTTCAGTTATATGCTAGACTTTGTTCTTTTTTATTTATTTATTTTTTTGGCGTATGTTTTAAGATTTACATAAGCAATTGTAGGTCTGGACGTTTTGGTCATCTGGGTATTGCCATCAATCTCATCACGTATGATGATCGCTTTACGCTGCGACGCATTGAAGCAGAGCTTAGGACGCACATTGCACCAATCCCTAAGGTTGAATTATTCCACCACACATAGAAAATAAGTCGATGTTATATTATTTGACTTTGTTGATATCGTTCTAGACTGTGGATCCAAAATTATATGTGGCTGAGCATCAGATTGTTACCGAAACCCCAGAGCAAGAAAAAGGCGGTAATGTCAAGGAGGAAGTCGCAGATTAGGCATTGTAAGTTGCAGCTCCTCTTAATTGTTTCGTATTAAGTTGCTAAAAATATTTCATTTCACCATCACATATTACTGTTTGTAAAAAAGCTTGGTTAATGTACTTCTTTCAGGTTTTATAATTGTTTTTCTCCGTTCTCATTGATCTCTTCCGTTGACTTGTATTTTTGTTTTCGAATATCAATGTTTCGCTCGGTTTGTAACTTGTAAGTTTTGTTGCGGCAGTTTTTGATTTCTGCAAAATATTTTTAATTTACACAATTTTGGCTGTTACACCTACTTTACTACCATTAATTCCCGTTCCTTGTTCTGGAATTGGTTTTTGCGGCTGTCGGATCATTTCTTACAGTTCTGTTTTTAGGCTTCATATATATGTGTATCTATTTGCGGAACGAAGGTGCTGGTTTTTTTCAGCGCCATTCTGCCTTTCGCTAGCCAATTTTTATGTTTAGTTTAGATTTGCCTAAGTTTTTTGCTTGTGGAAGTGATAAAAGGGATTACGTTTTTATAATTGTTGAATGGAGGCTTTCTAAATTTTGAGATTCATCTAAAGTACTAGTAATTTTTCCCTTTAATTACATTCATGGTGACTTATTGTGATTTCTTTTGGTTTCATTAACCGGGTTTTTTATCCATATTGAAATGTGCTGGCGTCATATATTCGATGGCCTGTTGTTTCTGCTTTTTTAGCAGAGATTTTACTGGTCTGTTTCCTTCTATCCAGCTGTCAGGTTTCATAACGCGACCGAATGTAAACTTCTAATTTTGACAGCACCCCGTTCATACGAATTTCTAGGCCTTCGATTAATGTGCCAAGAATGCCGTGAGCCGTGTTACCACTCTTCGGCTCTTGTTGGAGGTTTTTACTGCGGCATCTTTTTTTGTGCGTTTTATTCTCGATATTTCGTTATAATTTCTTAATATCTAATTTGTGTAGAACTGACTTTGTTGCTTGAAGGGCGACTTTGTCTGTTATTATGCTAGTGAATTGGCTCTCTTAATTACCTACGGGTGCCCCTCCCCCGCCGTTCTTTACTGTTTTCATATAGTTGGCTTTTTTTACTACTTTGTTGCATCGTTCCCTGTTCATTCACATGTTTCTATGTAAATTGGTTTTCTTATATTCAAGTAATTATAAAAACAAAAAAAAAAAAAAGTAGTGCTATGCCCCCTTGCAATTTCGTATGCAGTTGAAAGTAACAATAAAATATGCACTACATCCTTCTTTATTACACTGAACCGAATAACACACGTCACAGGAATACTGAAATCGTGCGGAGCTTGTCAACAACACCCGAAGTCCAATGTCCCACATTACTTGGGATAGCAAGTCCACCAAACTCCTAACAGACCTGAGTCGAACAGAAGTCAGACCAACTTACTGGTAGACAAGTTCTTTGCGGTCACGGCTGTTTAAACCGCGACGGCCTAGAGCTGCAGTTCCTCCCAAGTGGAGGTTGTGTACAGGATGTATCTCATTAACCCAATTCTTATTATACTAACAAGGTCAAACAATAAATTAAATACTGCAAAACAAAAAAAAATCTCGGTGCTAAATTTTTTTCACGGCAGTGAGTAGCCGCGTGGTATAGGAATGCACTAGGACAGCCACCATAGGAAACTCAAAATTGGATCACACTGATACACATCACAAAGCATCACAACGCAAGACTACAGGACAAATTAAGTGACAAACTTATCAAGTTGGACAATTACTATTAACAAAAGAAGATTTCTAGTGCAGCAAAGGTAGTGCAAACAAGTATTTCACATGCCACCAAAACCTCCATGTTGTGGGTACATTTGCTGTCCATAGCTTTGCGCCCCCGGAATTCCGTAAACAACACCTGGGGTGGGGTAACCTCCAGGAACAGTGGGGGGTACACCCATACCACCGCCAAAAGTCAGCATTAACTGTGGTTCAACTAAAACAAAAAAATCAACATCTCAAATATGTTTTTTCAGTATGATATTCACTCTGAGTAATTTTAGTTTCAGTGATAAAAGTCTAATTAAACTAAAAATGACTCACTCATTCCACCGTTCTGTTGTTGCTTCTCTTGAACTTCTTGCTTTCTTTCTGCTTCAGCACGCTCTAGCCTGCTTATCTGGAAAGAGACGATTAAATTCATCTCTGAACTATATCCAAAAAAAAGCCCCCTGTTAGAAAGGAAACAGCTTCAACTACGCTTATTTGTCAGTCAGTGACAGGAACCGCAGTCGACCTAAATACCATCAAACTAACCTTGGTATGATAATCTCTAAACACTTGTATCATGTACGGCATTGCAAAGTCCATTATCTTATGCTTCCAGGCAAGTTCAAGTATCACATCAGGATGCAACAAGTCATACATTTGGTATAACGATGCTGCGAAACAATCGTGAAGCTTGTTGTCTAGGAAAAATGCTAGCAATTCTTCAGCAATTTCCGGCTGCCGTGATTCAGCTGCGTACTCCATAGCGTCCTGAAAAATGAAAGCAGATTTTTGGAAAGGCTTCTATGGATATTAATGTAGTCCCATTTGTGAGTGGTTCAGATTTTAATAATGACCTTATAGAGTTTGTCCTTCTTGCACAATTCCACACTTTGCTTCCAGCGATTATTTCCTTTAAACAAGTAAGCAGAAATCCGCCTAAACTCCAATAGTTCGTGCTTTTCAAGCTGTTGTGCTAAAGCAATATTATCAAAATTATCGTAAGCGTCAATAGAAGCACGTAATCCGACGTAATCCTCTTCCTCTATTAACATCTGATTGAGTGCCTCATTCAACGATTTATTATTCTGAGTCTGTACTTGGCGAAGATATGGCTTCACGAGAGGAAGCTGGTTGCCTACAAGAAAGTTATGGTTCTAATTATTTCTGAGAATTGTGTAATAAAAATACTGAGAAACTTACGCTTTGTAAAGAATGAAACCGTTCGCGAGTGGTCAAGACGAGGGGTTAATACAATCAGTAAATCATTCAAAAGTAAAGGTTTGTAATCCAAGTAAAACTGCATCGCTTTATAATATAGTTCTATATTTGCAACCTAAAAAATAAGGGGAAGAAAAGGAAGTGGTAAGCAACACACAGGCAAAGCGTGTCAAAGTAACTTACAGTACTCCTAAAAAATCACTTACCTTCGTGATTATTTCCTTGAAATGCTGTTCTCGCCAAGCCTCTGTTGGATGCTGCATCATTGTTTGAACAGCGTTATCATACTCCTCATATTTATCATACAAAAATACAAGTTCAGACCAAAGATGTGCCTGCTCAGCTGCTCTCAATACCTAAGAAAAAAAAAACAGAAAATTATTATAAAATGCCTGCTACAGAAAAATTTTTCTGAAAAAAATTCCAGCGTTATTAGTCCCAACAAAAAATATAAGAAACACCAAATTACAACAAACTTTCGGGATATTGACGCGACTCCAGAAAAGTTCAAGATGTTCCCTCATTTTTTCTGGCTTATATTTACTATACAAAATAGCGAGCTCTGTAAACATGCCCATATGCGCCCGCTCTAAACCGAGCGCAGCTTCCAGCAAACCAATTAATTCTTCAAAATATCCTCTCTCCTAAAATGCAAAAAGTAACTACAAAAAAAGGACAAAACGAATTTAGCAACAAACCTGGTAATAGTTGTTTAATTCTTCCAGCTCATCAGCATGAACAACAATATGTAGGCCACAAATCTGTGCTAAGCGGAACTCTTCATTATCAACACAAGCGAAGCAAACCTAAACAATAGATAGGTTAAGGGAATAAATGGCTACACATAGACAGTGCGAACAGCCATAACAGATGGTTTTCAACAAGCATGAGGATTAAAATAACACATTACAACTTCAAGAATTACTTGTTTCCATGTTTTCGTTGAGTTTGCTTTCCTGGCCGCATCAACCGCCCCTTGGTATTCACCTAACCTTACAAGGGTAACTGCAAGTTTGGCGAAATTCGAGATGTTATTGAACAAAATCTTGGCAGCTTCAAACATCTCATTTTCGAAACACCTATCACCAACCTGCAACAAATTTGAAACGGAATAGAATATCATCACTAACGAGTCAAGCGAGAAATACCTGTTGTATTTGGGCATGATTGGGTCCCGATATAAATTCTTCCAATTCAGTGAGACGACTTGTTTTCGCATACGCATAAACAAGTTCAGTTTCAATAAACGATTCTCTTGATTTCTTTCTTGCCATCTGTAGATAGCGAACCAAATCCTCCCAACTTTCTAAACGCACCCCATTGAAAACAAGGAATCACGTAGTTTTGTTACCAGTATACTAGTTCAAATTAACCAACAAATGGAAAAAAAAAAGCGAACCTGTTTCAGAACATTTGTTCACAACTTCCATATAAGCGGTAGGGTCATCAGCTTTGATAAATGAATCCACTGCTTCCTTGACTAAACCCTCCCTCAGCTGAGCTTTGGCCAAAGAAGCCCAAACTCCCGGTTCGTTGCACCGCTCGGCAAATTCATATGCACGGTCAAGATTGGACACATTATCAATAAGCACCTAAAGTCGTAAAACTCATAAAAAAAACGCTTTCAACCAAATTTAAAAACAAAGCTGTAGAATCCTGAAATTTCTTGAAAAATAAGCAAACTGCTAACATTTATAGCAGACGTATTGACATCAAATTTCTTAAAAATAGCAAACGCCTCTTCATAGAGCTGGTTCGATATAGCAATATTTGCAATATCTGGCGCATCATAATTATCTAACTTTTGAACGTATTCCATGACACGCGATCGGTCTGCTTTTATGGCAGTGAGAATCAATAGGTTTTGAAGATTTCTAGAAATAATGAAAATTTGAACTAGCAACGTCACATTGCTAGTCAAACTAAAGTTTTATAAAAGTAAACCTGTGCTCAGAAAATGCCGAATTATCCAGTACTATTTTCTCAAGTAACTCTATAAGTTCGTTAGGTAAATCAGCTGCCATAAATGCTTTGACAGTTACAGAGATGTCCTCAGGATCTTGGGTTTCTGACAGAGCAGTTTGTACAACCTTAATTTTTCAACATTTCTAGAATAGAAAGATACATACAACGTAGTGAATCAACCTTAAAAAACGAACCTGATCAATGAGCTGACGTCGATGAACGTTATCTTCAGAAAGTACTTGATGCCATAATGGGAAATCTCGTCGTTTCACTAAATACCGAGCCAAATTTTTAAACAAAGAGTTTTCGTTGCACACCTGAACAAAAGAATGTCATAACAGCTTACCGGTATAACACTGCAACTTTACTTTTCAAAAACTTAAAGCATACATTCACAAGTTCAGCATCACACTGTCCACGTTCATAACACAAACACGCAAAATGAGGATCGCGTTTTTCACAGTATTTGCCAACGACTCGGGAGTCGTAATAAGGGTTCTCACGCAGAAACCTTTCAGGATTATTATTTGCATCAATATAGATCTTGGCAAGAGCATTATGAGTGGCTGAGTCTGACGCTCCTTCTTGAACACGCATTTCTAGCCACGGAGCAAGTAGTTTTAGGCTGTAAACAAGGAGGATCTCCGACAACATCTACCGATAAAATACCGTCAGGGAAGCTTTAGAAGAACAGCCTCTTGAACAAAACCTACCGATTCCTTTTCTCAACTTCTTCAACCAGTTCGTCAATATCAAATTTCCCTTTCGTATTCATAATAAGTTGTTTGATAGTATCCTCGGAACAGTCAACATCCAACAAACCCCCCACAACAATTGGCAAACGGGCTGGATTGACCTACAAGTAGCAATTGCTTAAAACAATAAGAACGTTAAAAAGCATGAGTATCCAAGGTCAATTAAAAATACTGCGTTAAAAAATAAAATATAAAAACCTTCTGCACAAAAACTTCGATATATTTCTGAAGATTATTGCGGTACAGGTAGAGTACAAGATCGTGAACCATATCATGTCGGTCACAAACAATGATTAAAGGTAATTGGTCCGTAAGTTTTGCTTCTTTTAAGTAATTCTTCACACGTTCTGCTTCATAACACTGAGACTCGCGACAAATTCTTTCAACTTCTTTGATTTGACCCGTTCTTGTGGCTGCCTGAAATTAGCAAATAAAAAGAAAATACCCACTAAAAAGTTACAACAGTACGATACTTGCAATTACGGATTAAAATTCTCCATTTGGAATTGAATAATTATGCCCCCCAAAATCCTTCTGGTGAAATTCCACCTAGTCACCTGGATATATTTGAAATGAACTTCTGGGTCTTGCGAGAAGTTGACTATAGAACCAAGAAAATAAAACAGTCCTTCGTAGCTTTTGAAAGATTCAAATAAATCTATAAGGGCATGAGTAGTCAACTGCTCATGATATTTCGTAGCTATCTGCACCACTATTTGAAGATTCTGACGCATATTAGTTTGCAACATCGCTTTAAGACACTCTAAAGAATCCTCCACGGATAACTGGCCAAAATAGTTTACCAGCCACTGAAATATTGTGAACAAAATATTGCACTAATATAGTGTGGGGCAATACATCTAAAATAACTGGAAACTCTAGAAACGGTTTTTAAAGCTGACCTCGGGTTTCAAATGTTGTGTATGCACAACAGTCCTTTTTATATCGTATAGGTCAGTAAAATGTTCAAGTGCACGTTGCAATAAGCCAGCTTTCTCGCAAAGTTGGCCTATGGCTGCTCGATCGTAATGATGGAACATTTGGTTCCCTAATATTGCATCAGCTACCTAAATCTTTTGCAACGTAAATTTCAAGGAGAAGAAACACGTGAAATAAAGATCATTTGCCAACCTGCGGAGCATACATCAAGTTCATTTCTAAAAGTTTTGTTTGAAGATGCCCCTCTGACTCTTTGTCATCCTTCAAAACTTCTAGAAGGAACGAAGTACAAGGCTGAATGGCTTGAACTTCTTCAAAGCAACCCACGATCTAAAAAAGATTGAGTTAAATCTTCAAGAGAGCTCGTCAAGGTGTGGGTAAACACCATGACTGAAAAAAGGTCACGACCTGGTTGATATCGGCAAGAGGCTCTTCGCCACCCTCAGTAACCAGCATCTGCGCAAATTTGGCTCCCATATCTGGATTAGTTCTGAGAACTTGGCGAAGTTGGAATAAATAATCTGGTTCAAAATTGACTTTCTTGGCATACAAGATGATCTTGTCAAATTGACCGGTTTCAGCAAAACACTGCACCACCTAAAAGAAAAAAAAAGATTTGGGCGAGAAAAAAATAATACATTAGTTTTCCAAACAAAGTTCTCACCTTATGTGGAACATTCCCTCTTAAGTATACAGACAGAGCAACATTAGCATCATGCGGCCGTACAAGGTCACCAAGTTCTTCACTGCATTCCAGTTTTCCCTCCGTCAACCATTTCTCAAGCAGCTGTTTCTTCCCCTAAAAGACCAGATATTTAACAAGTTTGATGAAAAAACAGTAAAATCGAAGAGTTGCAACTGAGAAAGAGTCCTCTACA